AGAGGTTTTAGGAGCATGGAATCTTACAAATGCCATTCTTTTCGCTCAAGTCTGCAGCTTGGACATCTTAGCATAATGTTGCTGAAGAACTCGTCATTCGTATCTTCCTTATTGAGGATTGGTGCTTTTGACTTGATTTCAGTCCTTCCATTTATTATTTCTCTGCAGTACCAGGGATTGAACTCAGGACCCTGTGCTTGCCAGGCAAGCACTTAGTCTACTGAGCTATCTTCCATTAATTATCATGCACTGTACTATTTTAACTTTACATTTCATATATAAATGCTACCCTATGCCTCCTAGCTTTTAACTTGATAAAATACAAAGTTTTAATATAAGCCTTATACTAAAATAAAGGAATCCTGTAAAAATAATTTATTCCATTTTATCCAGAGACAAGAATGAAACTGGATGTAAAAATATGTCAGACAGAATCAGACTAAATAGTTTAAGAGTGCATCTCCTCATTGTGTTGTGCTGACAGACACGTACTGCTGGTGACCATCACGGGGACAGTGCCGGTCGGGGATATTCTCTCCAGTGTAGAAAGTTCCCCTAGACAGCGGGGGTGTGTAAGTTGGTACCATGACAAAATTATGAGCAAAAGGTCAGAAAATAAACTCCTGTCTTTTTTCTACTGTTTCCTAATCTCCATTTTTTAAATGTTTTGGACTGCAGAGATGTCGCCTGGGAACAGAATGATGAAAAACATGAAGTATTAGTGTAAAATTCAACCTAATTCTAGGGCACATCCTTTTGTGCTCACTGTTCATTATTCAAGGAAGAAATGGGCTGAAATAACAGTATTTTCTCATTATCTAGAGAGTATGCTTCTAAAGCCTTCTATTAAAAAGAAATCACCACCAGACAAATTTTTCAAAATGGCAGAAGCAGTTTTGAAGGTAACTTTCACCTTCCCCGCACTCTTCTCTTCATTGTTACAAAACTTTGGAAGGATTTTCTGACTTTCCCCTGAGGTAGGCTAAAAGGAGCTTGTGTGAGATGCACCCTCCCCGTGCCAAGATGAAAGGAGTATTATCTCTGAAGATAAAGGAGCAAGAAGGAGGATTCTCGCTCTTTATATTAGATCGCATGCTTTGCTCTTCCAGTTCTCCCTGACTACCCACAAGTCACGAAACCAAAAAGACTTGGGGTGAAACATCTGGGGGGGTGGTGGTTGAGGGCTTCCACTTCATATAAAAGTTTTTTAAAAAATTGTATTTATTGCTACAATGGCCCCAGTCATGAGTCCAGAAAGAGCATAAGGAAGGGTCTCCCCATACCCACCCACAGGCATAGAGCTATTGCTAGGGAACAGGATCAGCACTTCATGGCGAACTCACACACTCAAAGCTCAGGGAGCTAAACCCTCCATGCAGCGGGAAGTCCAAGCTCTACAGCCGACAAAGCGGCACTTCATTAAAAGCTTTCTATTTTTTTTTTCCAGATTTTAATTCCTTAATGTTGAACAATGAAAAATGCACAGTGGCTCCTGAATGCTTGCTCTGTGACAAGTTCCCATTAGTCCCTTGAGGATGGCGTCTCTCATAGAAACTCATTTCACATCCCATCGGTTGCAGCCACAAGAGAGGGAAACTGCTTTTTCATTTCTCAGAGGCAAGAATATACAGAAAGAGAACCAATAGAAGAAAGGCCTAGAGTTTTCCCTAATGAGGCTAAGCTCAAGCAGCCTGCATTTCTGGAAATGGAATAAGCCTTTTGCTATTTTCCACGGGGCGCTTGACAGTGATAACTGCGATTCACTCCAAGGGTATTTTCGGAGCCTGGGGGAAATATGACAGGACAGCGTGTTCCAGGTATGCAGTTACTGACTGCATGATTGATGCTGTTTGCTTCCTTTGTCTAGCGCTTGGCAGAGTGATTTTGTACAGAGCTCTGCAGAGGCCTAGAAATAAAAATATTATGACGCATTGTAAGGGATGCTTGGGAGGGCACTTCGAAAGTGATGTCAGCATTTTGGGTCACGCAACCAAACAAAGGGACCAGAGGCATCCCTCTCTAGGTACTAACTGGGAACAGAAACTTACAGGTAACGCTTATTGTGCACAGAGATAAGGAAGAAAAGAGAGTAGTGAGGTCCTTGGTCGGGGAAGCAAGAGTCCTTACAGTAAGTGATCAACTCTGCTGTTTCCAAGATACAGAATTTTAAAATGCAAGCTGAAACTTCTCTCTGAGCACAGGGTCAAGACAAAAATAAAGGCATCTACAAATACATCAAAGGCTTGAGCATGAATGTTCTTCCTCACAGTTATTATTAGGCAGAGATTCTAAGTTATTTTAACTCTAACTTGATGATTGCATTCTGGATTTATCCTCAGGGTCTGACAAACATCACCAAATTCAGGTTATTGAATGTGATGGACAGCATCCAATCTAGAGTTCATAAGTTCACACAAAAATAAAACACAATGCATACAGATGGTAGCATTCTCTGGACATGAGAACTTTTCTTTTTCTTGTGAAAGCAGTGTGGTGGAGTGAGCAATTCTTAGGACTAAAAAGACACATTTCACATAGGTCTATAAAGCTAAATCTCCCTGTCTAGGGTCAGTGTGGCTGCAGTGCTGTGACCTTCTCAGATTGAAAACATCAGGTAGGATGTACCCGTTTTTGATTAGTTCAACAGTAAGCTCTTGATTTGTTACTACTGCGTTGATTTCAGTGTACAAACAAGCAAGCAAGCAAGCAAGCAAGCGGAGATAACTAAAGCAAAAGGCCCCATGTAAAGCCAGTTTTATAAACCTGGGCATTCTACTGAGAGAGACCTACCTATGTATTCCGTTTTTTCTTATACAGGTCCAATATTCTTTTATTTATTTATTTATTTATTTTTGAAATGCAAAAATTAAATTATTATTTGTGGATGACATGATGCTCTACATAGAAACCCCAAAAACTTCACTGAAAGACTTCTAGATTTAATAACCAAATTTAGCGGTATAGCTGGGTACAGTGTCAATACTCAAAATTCAATAGCCTTCGTAAACATGAATAGCAAACCTACAGAGGAAGAAATGAAGGAAACCACACCTTTCACATTAGCATAAAAATGAATCAATCTAATGAAGGAAGTAAAAGTCCTTTACAGTGAAAACTACAGTACTCTAAAAAAAAAGAGATTGGGCTAGAGATGTAGCTCAGTGGCACTACACTTGCCTGGCACAAGCGATGTCCTGAGTCCAATTCCCATTTTTAAAACTTAACTTTATTGAGAAACAAATAGCAATAAGACACTTTCAAAACAGGTTAGTAGGACAGTTCCAATCATTAATACATTGCATATTGTTGTCTTCATAGTGGTTATTCATAGTACAAGATGCAGACATGATATCCTGTCCAAACACTATTAGAACAAATCTTTCTTCTCATTGAATTAAGAGAAAGCTGTATATCTATTCTAACTATTTTGTATATACAGATACAAAATATCTATTCTAACTATTTTGTACATACAGATACTGCTTTGTCTACAGTGGTGACATCACATAGTGCCGCTGCCTCCTGCTTGGAAAATTACTTAATAACTCCGAACCTTGGCCTTTTTGTCTATAACATATAAATACATGAAGGGTTGAGTGCAATGTGCCTGGTCATTAATGCTAGGCCTTATTAATTCTCATTTCATTTCATTTTCTCCACCCTTGTTCATTTGTATCCCCTTTTTTTGTTTAGTTTTGTCAGAGATGGGTATTCCATTGCCATTTAAATATTGTAGGTGCATGAATTAGGCAAAATAATCCAATATAGTCCACTAGTCCATAATACTAGTGGATTATCTTATAGAGTACTTATGGGACGCAACTCAAACAATCATTACTAGCAATAATTTGCTTCACATTTGAACTTTTACTTGTAAATGCATTTTTACATGAGGCTGCACACATTACAACCTGCATTTCATGGACTTTATTTTATCTGCAGGCTCTGGGAAGGAGTTATTTGGTATAATTTCTTAGTCCCACTTCACATTTGTGAAAACTAAGTTTCTGAACTTTAATGACTAGTAAACTTGGTCACAATCAGGAAGTAATTAGAGCTGCTGTCAATGCCAGGGGCAGTTCCGATCCTCTTAATTATGTTGCTTCTTTCATCCTCAGTAAGGTGCTGCATATGTAAACAGAGACAGCCCAGGATCCACTAGGGGTAAGAACAGAGACTCCAGAGCCAGCCGAGGGGTCCAGATCCTGGCTGTAGATTTCCTGGCCAAGTCTCTGACCCTTGCTGGTCTAAGACCACTCCCCTATTAATCACCCACTAAAGCAACGCTCCGCCTTCACCCCACCTTACAGCACTGTTGACAAACTCCTACTGTAGAAGCACCCGTCATGCTCATTCCGGCTTGCTGTTATTAAAGATTACTCAATCTCTGGTTCCACCAAAAAAAAAAAAAAAAAAAAAAAAGATTACTCTTCTTAATTTTTTTTTCCTAAACCTTTATGTTTACCTTCTTTTTGCACAACCCAAGCACTCCTTCCTCCAGTACTATTTAGGGAAAACAGGCTTATTAGAAAAACAAATACATTCATATTTAGAGACTAAAAAGGTCTCTGGCAATTTATATGTTTGTTGTGTTTACTGTGTTTAATTGTTTAATAATTTAATTGAACTAAAATTTAGTGCTTAGCATTTTCTTACAAAACCTGAGTGTTTTAAGTTATATATCTTATAAATGGATACTGTCATCTTGCCAAACACTCTCTGAAGTGATTGCTCCACACATGTGATTTTCTATTCTAACTAAATGGTCTACAAACTAAATGACATATTTTAAGAACTAGAAAAAGGAGTCCCCTTTTGTGGGATGCAATTCGCTCTGTCCATGACACTTGACTTGGCCAGCCCAGCTTGGGAAGAACCTCGGCCATCCTCGGGCCAGGCAGCCACGCTCAGCGGCAGTCTTCCATTCCCCTCTAGGTTACAGATTGGACACAGACAAGTGCTAAATGCAGCATCCGAAAAAGAAAGCGAGTGTGACCCACCTCGTGGTACTTCTTCACGGTCTTCCCTGAGCTGCACGTGCAGGATTTCCCGTTGGCGACCCCGCAGCCGCAGTTTCCTCCACAGCGCTGGACCAGAAGGCAGCGAGGAAAGAAGACAGCGTTGGAGAGCTTCAGCTCCTCTCTTAGGTTGACCGAGTAATTCCTGGGGGTGCAGCTGTACCGCTTGACGTCCTCGTTGAGCCGGTCCAGGTCCACTGCGGGCAGACAAACATGGTAGAAACAAACACATGATGGAAAGCAAAAGCCTCACGATGGGTCCGACTCAGGAGATGGAGCGGGGGTTTCTGTAAGGTAATCTTAGCTCAAGGGTTACAGGGTCTCACTACGCAGCTCAGACTCATAGTGATCCTCCTGCTTTCAGTCTCCCCAGGACTAGGATTACAGGTGTGGGCCACTATGACTGGACTCTGGCCAGGTCAGTGTGCCAGGAGGCGGGGCTGGTGTGACATGTGGTGCCAGGGATTGAACCGCAGTCCCTGTGCCTGTCTAAGCTTGCCTAAACAGGCACTTTAGTCCACTGAGCTATCTCACCAGCCCATAAAAATCTTGACTATAAGCTGTATTGTGGTTTGAATTTCCTGTTACCTTTTTAATGTAAATGTTTCTTCAGATGAAATAAAATGAAACATTTGAGTATTTAAAATAAATGTTATCTTTAAAAGCATAAAATAAGCTACTTCTTGTTTCCAAGTAAATCCTGAGTCTAAGTCATTACTTAAAGGTAAATTGAGATACACTGACACATTAGGAATGAGTACTCTAACTTGCACCCCTGGCAATAAAATGATTGCAAATTGCTGCTAAGAAAAAGGATTTTCACTTCTCTTGAAATCTGAAGGCAGCCAGAAGGCCGCAGAAAGCGCTGCCCTTGTGAGAGGGGCTCATGTCTGTCCTAGAGGGCACTAGAGTACAGGGGGTGAGCACGCTCCGTCTACAGTGGTGACATCACATCGTGCCGCCGCCTTCTGCTTGGAAAATTACTTACTGGTTCCGAACCTCGGCCTTTTCCTCTATAACATATAAATACATGAAGGGTTGAGTGCAACGTGCCTGGTCATTAATGCTAGGCCTTATTAATTCTCATTTCATTTTATTTTCTCCACCCTTATTTGTTTTCTTTTAAATTCAATGCTTAAATCGAAAAACAAAATCAGCTGTTTCTCCCTATTTTTCTTTTGGTCATTTTTCTGCATAAATCTTTTTCAAGGGCTGTGGTTAATTGGACTACTATGAATTATCTTAATAATCTTTAAGATCTAAGTAATAAAACTTTACTTGAATTAAATTTGTGTTGTTGCAGTACACGAGTTGTGTTTTAAATAGTGTTCTCCGATGTGCTTGGTCATGCATCCACTGGGCGCAGACCCAGACTCTAGAGCACACGGAAGAATGCTCTCGGGCCAGGGATACAGCTGGGCTGCATGGTGCCTGCCTGGCACACACGAAGTCCTGAGTTCAATTCCTGATGTGCGCGTGCGAGAGAGAGAGATAGAGACAGACAGACAGACAGACACACACACACACACACACACACATACACACACACACACACACACACGCACACAGAGACAGACAGAGAAAAGAGAAAGAAAAAGAAAGCTCTTCTGTCTGCAGTTTCCATCAGCACATCCTGCTGAAGTTCCCTAGGCACCAGTGAGGCCACCGCAGGAGAAACACTGCAAATTCTGCACAGATGTCACATTGTCTTGGACTACAGGCCCGGGCAGCATGTTAGTTTTAAACCAATACTACTTGAGGAGCCCTAAGGAGTAGTTTTGGGGTCAGAGCTCCAAGGGACTGGGTGGGTAGAACACTTTGAAGAGAACCTTAAGGACAAGCAGGCGCAGGTGTGGCCAAAGTGTCCACTAGCCCCACAGAGTCAGCTAATTTCACTGAGAGTAAGAATGTGATCGGCTTTCCCTTTGAATAGGAAATTAAGTGGCAGTTTGATTGATGTCCTACCCTGAGTGCATTTTCAGATGTGCTCTGATTCTCAAGGGCAGGGATTTATACCTAACTACTAAATGCTGAGCTTGTGACACCATGGGGACTGAATAAATGCTAATCACTGTGCATAATTTATTGCTGTTTTTTCTTCCTTTGTAAAGGCATGTCATAAGTTTAGCTACAATCAATCCAGATTTAAATTGAATGAACTCTGTCTTGGGAAAGGAACCATTTTATTGCTGTTCAAGCCCTGAGAAATAACTGCAAGGAAAGCAGAAAAGATTACATAAATGGATTAAGAAGGGCAGCAATCATCCATTACAAGTGTCACCTTGAGATAAATACTGACGCTGTCCTGGGCAGCACTGGGCTTGTGGGCAGGGCTGGCGCAGAGAGCCAGGTCTGTGGCCTAGGACAGTGAGCATGTATTTGTCTAATGTGAGGAACACAGTGGTCCAAACGGCAGGAAGGGAGCAGATGTATGGGAAGGCAGAGGGGCAGGAGAGCGGTACCAGCACTGAGGTACCAGCACCGAGCTTCTACTTAAGCTCAGTTTCCTGGTAGGCACCACACATATGATAGCCTTCAGTTGCTCCCCACCCTTTTGAAGTTCATGTTAATTAACCAAAGTGAATTGTAAATGGTAGAACTAGATTTAAACTTTCTGAAGCCACTGGTGAAGAAAGAGATCAATATTGCTGGAGCTGCATCAAGCTATGCTACAGGATATTAAATCGAGTTTGGAGCAATGAACAGCTGTATCCCCACCTCGAAGCAGTGTCTAAGCTGAACGACAGCATGCCTTCCCTATGCGAAGTTAGTAAAATCCAAGGTACCCATCACAAACCAGAGCAAGGCACATGGGCCTTATTTCCCTTGAAACCACACTCCTCACTTTGCACAACCATTTCACTGTGGGGCTCTGGTGACTGCCGTTTCTCAGCTGCCATGAAAAGATTTACGCTGCTGTCAGTTTCCTGTATCAATTCGCTGGCGTAACTAAGGGCTATGGCCTCGTGTGACTGCTGTAGAATCCAGCTGCCCTACTTCTCGGGGGACTGAAGCCACCGAGGCACTCAATTTAGAACTGAAACGAAAAGGTTCCCCTGACTGGATGCAAACAACTTCAAAGCCTGACTGCAGACTTTCTGCGGGATTATTGAATTCCCAGTCAAAGAAGACAGATGAGGGCGCCAGGCAGAGGCTGAGCAACAATTAAAAGTCTTGGATGCTGCTTGGAGGGAGGGTGCAAGCGTGAGGCTCTTGAAAGGGGTGGCATATGGGGTGGTACAAATGGTGGCAGAAAGGCTCTGCCTTTTCCATTGCAACCTCACCTTCTGTTGCTGAATGTGACAGGGCAGCTAGGCTACTCCACATTGAGTCAAAGGCTCATTGGCCTTTGTATTTTATCAGTTTCCCTTATTTCACCCCAGGGTGCACAACATTATAATAGAGCAGTACCAAATCAGATTTTCCCATAAGGTTCACACTGAACCTAACCACTGAATTTGGTTCTGTTCTCCTCCACTTCAGTTCATGCCAGAATCATACAAAGAGCAAAGTGTGTCAAGTAGGGCAAACCATACCGATCTTGCTGTCTTCATGAGGACATTGTTATTCAACCATCTTTAAGGTAGAGCATATATGCCATTTTTTTTTTTATTTTTAATCTACCTTTGTGTGTTGTATGTACAGTTGTGTTAGGCTAGTGTTGACATGCTAGGGTTCTAGAGTAACTGTACCATAGGTGAACCATGGTGCACGACAATAACTATCACTGTGACCCACAAGAAATCTAGAAGCAGTGCAACCAGTGTGTGAGGTGGTTCCCAGGAGGCTGGTTCTCACATACACATCTGAAAGTGACAAAGAACACGTCCTGGGCCTGGCAAAGATGAGCATCCAACCTGTTATGTAAGGTGCTAAGCACTTGGCTTGGAGGTTGTTATTCTAGATTTATGGTGCTTGGGGTAGGAGAAGGAGGTGAGAAGAATCTATGAATAAATCTGTTGTCTACCACACAAGTAGGGATTGTCAGTTTTTCTCAAGGTTCCGGAATTCCCCAGGAGGAGTCTGTTCTTCTTTATGGACTTTATAATCTCATTGTGATTTTAAGATTCCCTCTTCTATAAATGGGGACATAATTGTGAAAACTATTGTCACAGTTCAACTTTGATTTTAGAAGTACAAATAAATCTGGAAAGAACAACATTTAATGCTATTTAATGATAAAGTATTTTACAACACCGAATGAGGGATTTTCAGGGCATTTTAAACCTAAAATCATACACTATACTAAATTTCATCACTCTGCTTCTTGGTTTAATATCCAAAGAATAGAAATATTTGCCACATATGCTTTAAAATTAAATCACACCAAAAGGCTCCTGATTGGATAACTTTTTTTAGGTTTAGAAATATCTGTGAAATAAAGGGCTGGCCAGATAGCTCAGTGCATTAAAGCACCTGCTTAGGCAGACACAGGGACTGGCGTTTGATCCCTGGCATGCCGTGCTGGCCCTGCCCCAAGGGGGCACGATGAGACAGACTATGTGTGGTGGTGCATGCCTATAATCCCAGCACTTGGGAGGCTAAAAACTGGAGAATCACTTTGAGTTGAATCTGTGTAGTGAGATCCTGTATTAAACACACAACACACACACACACACACACACACACACACACACACACACTTGTGAAATGACATGCAAATGAAAATTTACTGAGTGCCTAAGTGCCCAGAACTATATGAGATGTTTTCTGAAATTTGAACCTCATTGCTTTTATAACAAAACTTCATTTTTCACATTAATTTTTCCAAAGATGTGGAAACTGAGATGCAGAGGAGTAAAGCAACTTATCTAGAGTCACTGGACATGCATCAGACATTCCACAAGTGCCCCCTGGACAACCAGCGGATGGCTGAACTACCTGGAAGACAGTGAACCAGAAATGGAGGTAAGTGACATCAACATGAAGCCACTCTCTGACCCCTGGGAGCTCAGGACCCTGGGGTGCCTGTGTAGTGCACCGATGAGAAAAATAAAAAAGTAAGGAAATGATGAAGAATCAAGAAGTTCTAGGAATATCCTTCATTCTCTTCTTTAACACTATGGGTGTCTAGCTCTAAACATAATTGAATTGCCCACAGCACGGGCTGTGCAGTCAACAAAGCCAGCTTTGTGTCTTGGCTCCCTACTTTGAAGTTGTCATAGAGCCTTTTGAATTTGCTTCTTTACTATGTGAA